AGGAAAGAAATGAATGCACTGTAAACACAAGCTGCTTGAATAAGGCCAATGGAGACAAGGTCACTGAAGGTCAGGCTGGGCGGTCAGAGGAGCACACGCTCTGGCCTGGGGCTTGGGGCCTGGGAACCCTGGGAGTGGTGGTCTTTGTTATGTTTGGCCTCTTTTAGAGCAATGGAAGGAAGACTGGCCCCTGAGCTTGCTGCTACAACTGGGGGGAGGGTGGAGGGGGTCACCAGGTCTCCAGAGCAGTTTTGCTGTCTGCACAAGTCCTGTAAGAGGATCTTTTTCAGTAGGGTCACAAGAGTGGGTACGAGTCTTCTGACCTGCAGGAGGAGACCTGGCTCCCCAACCCTGGTTCTTCTCTTTTTCAATAAGGAAGTGGCTGGGCTCTCTTGGGAAAGCAGTGCAGATTCAGAACGTGTCCTGGTCACTTTCATCCCCTTGTTGCAGGCAGCCAAGTTAGACAGAAATATTATAGGCAGTCAGACAGGGTCAGGCCCTCAAGGAGACAAGATGGAAGACAAGGTGACTTTGCAACTTGGAAGAGACAGACACTCCCATATGGGCCACGCCTGAAGACCAAGATAAAAAGAGGAAGCATGGCTACATACGGCTACATACTTCCCTGGGGATGAGCATTAGGGATTGATATCCTAAATAGTATCAATCAACTTGAAAGAGCCCAAATGAGTCACTAGCCCAACCCCCAACAGGAAGAGACCCTGTCCTGTATTTGTGCCCACTTGCTATGTGACTCACTTTCCCATTTGATACTGGATTTAATCAATTTTAGCTGAGCAATGGTGCTTGTAATCTCATTGATTGACCATAGTTTGGTCCCACCTAATGCCCAACTAAGCAAGTTCCCTTGTCTTCTCCATCACCTTAGACCCACCTCACCACATGGTTTTCCTCTATAAAAGTCCCTGCAAGAGACAACTTCCCGGGGGGTGAACTACCCACTCGGGCCCCCACTCCTGTCCCTCTCTCGGGACAGGAGCTTTCTTTCTCTCAATAAATATATTCTGCTCAAAACCTCCGTTTGTTCCTAAAATTCATTCTTCGGTTTTAG